TGGTCTCCTGGGTTTCTGCTTCAGACACAATCTCAGGATTCCGTGTGGAATATGAACTGAGTGAAGATGGTGACGAGCCCAAGTATTTGGGTAAGGTAGATTCCTAATCTAGAGAGCAGCACCCTCAAATGGCATATGTAGGGTTCACTCCATCACCACCCATAAAGTTTGCATAGAATGGACAATCCTGAGGACTTCTACTATTCAGAATGCAAGGTGCACAAGGACAAATAGCAGTACATTAGGAAAAGACTCATAATTGCATCCCCAGTCTGCAGTCATATGTTGCTGCATTCTTTCAAAATGAGAATTTCACTTAAAATTTCTGGCTAATGATCTGAGGTGTTGTTTGCATAGCCAAATCCTCTGCAAGTTTGATCAGAAATCATTCCTGATAAATTCAGTGGGATTTCCACCCATGGAAGTGTGTATAAGAATCCCAGTGTATTTGGGATTTGTTTGGAATACAGTTCATTTGTTGCATGCATCGAACATCCAAACACATCTGAGTTAGCAGGCACATCTCAAATGAGCACATCGGAAGGAGATGTTTCTGGGCCTTCTTACTGAGTGGCTTGGCACACTTTGTATTGCAGACAACAATGTCTCTTCCAGATCAGAAAAATAAGTACAGGTCATTGAATCATTTGAGACAAATTATTAACACAATATTCTGATTTAGGATTCAGTTAGATAAACGTATGGTATGTAGTGACACTCCTGACTCTTTGTTGTTGTTGTTTTTTTAATGAAGTGAGTGAGATTTGTGCCTACAAGTAATTTCAAAGAACCTACCTCAGACCTTTTCTGTTTTACTCTCCCTTTATCTTGAAGATCTTCCCAGCACTGTCACGTCAGTTAACATCCCCAACTTGCTTCCGGGTCGCAATTACATTGTCAAAGTCTATCAAATTACAGAAGAGGGCAAGCCGGACCTTATTCTATCAACTTCTCAGACAACAGGTATATTTCATCACACGGTATTTAGCAGAGCAGAAAGCATATCACCAATTCCTTCTCTCCCTCCCTCTTATGCTGGGCATTTCATCTCACTTCTTTATGTTTCCTTCAACAGCACCTGATGCCCCTCCGGATCACCTTGTACAGAGTGTTGATGACACATCAATCATTGTGAGCTGGAGCAGACCAGAAGCTCCTATTACAGGTCTGCCTCATTTCAGTGTTCCGGTGGTCACATATAAATTTTGGGTTGTTTCTTTTCTCTTCATTTATGAGAGGGGCAAGCACAGAGCAAGTGTAGCTGAGGACAAACCCTATCCACACACAGAGAAGGATATTATAAGCTGGAGGGGGGGTGAAGATTGAGCTTGCTGTTTATTTGGTTGAAACTGGTGGCTATGAAATGTTTGATTTGTCATATGTGTTATTTTCCTTTGTCCATTTGTGAACTTTCAGTAGTCTTCCATTCATAAAAGAAGGTGAAGACTCAAGAGATAGTGGGGAATACTTAAGCACCGTCTTGAGCAGAACTCTTACTCTGTTTTCTTGTTGTGAGTTGATCGTACATTTTTGGCTACACTAGGTTATCGGATTGTTTATACTCCATCTGTGGAGGGTAGCAGTACAGAACTGAACCTACCTGAGTCTGCTACTTCTGTGACGCTCAGTGACTTAATGCCCGGAGTTCAGTACAATATCAGCATTTATGCTGTGGAAGAGAACCAGGAGAGCACTCCTATCTTCATTCAGCAGAAGACCACAGGTGTGCCACAGGAAGGTAAGAACCTAATTGATTTTCTGCAGGACTAACAAGGAGAGCTGAATGGGGTCCCTCTCTTTTTTTTCTTGCATATACTTCAACATTTATCCTTAAGCACTATTTATGTTCCACCTTTCTCATTCTACACTCATTGGAGTATATACAGTGGTGCCTCGCTTAACGAGTGCACCATTTAATGACAAATCCGCATAGCGATGCATTTTTTGCGATCGCTAATGCGATCACATTGCGATGTTTAGATAGGCTAAACATCGCATTGCGATGTTTAGAAAAGAGCTGATCGGTGGTTCCAAAATGGCCGGCAGGTGCAGAAAATGGCCGCCCGCAGCGTTTTCACGCCCTGCCCTTGCTTACCGAGCAGCGAAAATGGCGGCCGGATGGGGGAATCTTCACTTACCGGTCAGTTTTTCCCCAATAAGAATGCATTAAACTGAGTTTAATGCGTTCCTATGGGTTCCCCCCGCATAGCGATGAATCCAGATAGCGACATTAATCCTGAAATGGATTAACGTCGCTATGCGGGGCACCACTGTATGATTCTCCTTACTTCTAAGCTATCAGCAAATACTGGATCTAAAATCCAGTTGTGAATTCTGATGTTTTAAATTAGCTTTTGTTAGTCCCAGCTAGAGAAGATCCATTGAATCAATGGGATTTAAATAAGTGTTGTTTTTAAAAACAACTAATTCAATGGGTCTACTTTAGTTGGCATTAGCAATTGCATTTAATGCTTGTTTCTACATATTGATTTATATTTATTGATTTTAAACTGTTTAGAAAAGGAAGGATTTTAGTTTGCATGTAATTTTTTAATTTCTTTTATCCCCCTACCCTTGGTGTATCACCGCTTTGTTGGAATGTTACTACATCTTCTTTACCTATAGTGCATTATAGGGCAATGGCGTTACTAATAAGAGATTCATCCCATGCTCTGCTGTTCATCCAAATCCCATTGCAAACTCGTGATGGATATCCCTTATGTGTCTTTTGGTTAGGTGAGATTCCTCCGCCCAAAGATCTGCAGTTTGTGGAAGTCACTGATGTCAAAATCACCATCATGTGGAACCCTCCAGACAGGGCTGTGACTGGCTATCGTGTAGAAGTGATTCCAGTTAACCATCCTGGCAAACATGGGCAAAAGTTGCCAGTTACTAGGTATTCCTTTGCTGAAGTCAAGGATCTTTTGCCTGGGACAACCTACCTTTTCAAGATCTATGCCCTTGGACAAGACACTGAGAGTGAACCCTTGACTGGAGAACAAACAACCAGTATGTGCATTTCTTGTAATTCAGTTTATCATCTCTTTGCCCTAAATTCGTCCTGCCAAACTCTATGCTTCTGCAAACAATACTCATTTATAATTGTGAGTTTAGAAGTTAGAGACTTAGAGGAGATAGAAAGAGACCTGCATACTTTTTGTGTGGTTTTTTTGCTGCCTAGTTCAGGCTTGGGAGTTCCTTCTAATGGACTTGAAACTGTTTTTTTCTGATTGTGTGGTTTTAAAACAGTCTGCAAATGGCTGTTGAGTAAAATCATTTGCGTGTTTCTTTGTATGCACATGCGTACACATACATGTAAGCTGTCACACAGATCCCTTAAGTGTAGCTTTCTTGATCACAGCATAATACCAGTGAATCACAGAATGTCGACATGATCTCATTATGAGTAATAGCAGTCCATTATGATATCATATGGCGCCATTTTTAAAAATTGCGTACTTGATGGCAGAATGCACTACACAACGAAGAATAAGATCCAGACTTTTTGCTCTGAAATGCAGGGCTGACTGTAGTGATTCTTAATCTGCCTGACTGCAGCTCTTAACAGATGTCTGGAGCTGTGTTTTCCATACATTATGATCATGACCGTAATTGCTTTGTCTAAACCACAGTTTGAAAAGCTTCACATAAGTCCTGAACTGTAATTGAAATTTCTGGGGAAAGGGGCAAGACTAGCATTCCCAAGGAATGATCCTTTTATAATTTTTCTTCCCACGGTTCCCTCTAGGCTTTGAGTCCTTGGGAATCATAGAATCAAGGGCTGAGTACAGGAAGATGGAATGTTGAAATTAAGGAGGAATTACGTTAGATGTTGTACCATTTCTTTAAAGGCTTCTAAATCTCTAGGACCACCTCAAAGGACATGTGTTTGGCTAGGGACTCCTGTCTACTTCTCTACTACTCTATGGCCTAATTTACACTGAAATAGTAGACCTAAAACTACAAGTGAGGACTTGGGTGACTGAATCTCTTTCATACAAACTAACCAACCAGCAGAACTAAAAGACTCTGCTAGTGCAAAATTAAATGCCAGGGGAAAGCCATTCTCCCTGACTTGTGAATTTTCTGTACGAGGACTGTTTCAGTTCTTTGGGGTTTCTGTCTGCACACACACAGAACTGACAGATAAACATTTGTTCACTCCAGCTTGTAGTGTGTAGTCCATATGCAAGTTTATACTACATTGAGATCAAGGCCAAAAACTCTCTTGAGGAGGTGGGCACTACCATCGGAGCAGGATGGACACTGTACCCTGCTGTTTCAGGGGGAACGTGCCCCCCTGTGCCTACTATTTCTGGAATTTCCATCTCTTGGAGTGCTAGCTATCCTGGTGCTACCGTGTTTCCCTGAAAATAAGACAGGCTCTTAGATTCATTTTTGCTCCAAAATTGCATTAGGGCTTATTTTCAGGGGACGTTTTATTTTTTTTTTCATGAACAACAATCTGCATTGATTCAAGTGCAGTCATGTCATCTTCTTCTGGTTGCTGCACAATGGTGGAGGGTGGGGTTTTTACTTAACTGGGGCTTATATTACAAGCATCCTGAAAAATCATACTAGGGCTTATTTTCAGGGTAGGTCTTATTTTCTGGGAAACAGGGTAGCAGTTTTGCCTGGCTAAGAATAATGTTTTACGTATTTATGGAGAAAGAGGGGTTTGCAATAATCAAGCTGTCAAAAGGTTTAGACTTAGTTTGGACAGTGTAGCAGGGCAGGCAGCAGTGTTTTATGCAGCACTAGCCGTTGGAACAACTGTACCATAAATAAGCAGGATGAGTAGAAAGGCTGGGCTTTTCCTGAAGTCCATTAAACTTTCAAAATTATAACTGTTAGAAAATCCCTAGACTGACAACCAAGCTGCTGGGAGGTCTGCTGCACTCTGTGGTTAGAATCCCAGGCCCACACGGGAGTGAACCTCCGCTACAATTGTCTTGAGCTTAGTTCTTGGTGACAATGCAGAGGCTGTTGGTCTGCCTGTTTCTCTCATCCTAACCTTGTAAAAAGTTGTGGAAATATGCTTTCTGTTGTATCGAACAGATGGGTACCAACTGCTCTAGCTGAACTGAGCCATAAATTACTTTGAGTGGAATGTGGGTACAGTACTTAACTCTTGGCATAACTTTTTTTTTAAGCTGCAGGGTTTCTTTTTGGTTTCCATAATAGCATCTAACATGCAATCAACATCAAACTGAGATAATATTAGTAGTAGAAATCACAGCCGGAAGTGGTTGCTTCATGCATTCTCGGGGGGAAAGAACAGTGGTTTTCAAAAGAGATGTAAGAGGATTTTTTGGCTTTCTTTTCTAGATCTTGATAGTCCAACCAATTTGCGGCTGGTCAATGAGACCGACTCCACAGTGCTGGTGACATGGAGGCCCCCTCGTGCCCGTATTACAGGCTACCACCTTTCTGTCGGCCCAACAACAGGAGGACAACCAAAACAGTACAATGTGGGGCCATCAGCCACAAGATACCTTGTGAGAAACTTGCAACCAAACTCTGAGTACACCGTGTCCCTTGTGGCTGTCAAAGGAAACCAGCAAAGCAGCCCAGCAACAGGAATCTTCACAACCTGTAAGCATGGGGCAGCCTTGACTATTGTTTCATTGATACTTCTGCCTCCAAATAGCCAGACTTGTGATGAGCTCACACCTATAATAATAACAACCACCACCTGGCAATACAGTGTCTCAGAAATTGACACGAAGTAGTGTGAGTTTTGGTTAGAGTTTTGTAGAGTGCATGTGTCACACAGCATGCTTCCATCAACAAAGTTCTTGCTGTTGTTTTAAAGGCTTTTTTTGCCAGTTTCATCCTATTTACTAGAATTCCCTCTTTTTTTGTCTAGCAGTGCGAAGCACCTTCTGCTGGTGGGTCAGAGAAGAAACTGCTACCCATTTCTGATTACTGCCCGGGAAAAAGGCAGTGTGATAACATACACCAATGGCTGCCCTTGACCCCTAAGTTTTAGCTCTCCTTCTCTGATGATCTCTTGAAGACCAGTAATTCAATCATATCTGCTTCTCTAGCAGTAAGCCCCACCAGATTCAGTGTGATTTACCTTTAGGCAGACATTGATAGAAGGGTGCTGTTTCAGGGGTGGTACAACACATGGGGGTCAAGTTATCCCTGCCCATAATTTGGACAATGCTGCCAGTATTTTTGGTAATCACTGATCTGTTGAAAATAGTGGTCCACTAACTGGCCCTGATTCCATTATGAAGGAAGGCAAAAGTGGCATTATGGCTTTCTCTAAGGGGAACTGTGTGTGCCCCACTGAAAGTTTCAGCACTTACATCTTTGTTGTCTGAGATATAAAGATAAGTGACACTTCCCCCTTCAAGGACAGGTTCTGTGTTTTTCTAGGGAAGTCATTATCCTGAATGCAGTGCAGTTTGACTCATGCTGGTGCAGTCTCAAGTGGCATCAAATCCTCATAGCCTTATTAGTGGACGTAAGACTGCCAAATGTCTGCCCCATAAAACTGAACACATCTCAATGGCTCCCACTAAGTCTTGATACCTTCCCTAGTTTTGCTGCCTTACTGAGATAGCTGAAACCACCTGGAGATGTGGGGTGATGTTTTCAGGCATCTGGCATTGCAAAGATATGGTCCTTATGGTCTGTCTTCATTCTGATACCTCAGAGGTTATGTAGACCTAAATACACTCTGCTGGCTAGCAGCAGACTGTTGATCTACTGTATAAGCCAGCTGTCTAAATTGCTGGTTTTTGCTGAGGCTAAAACAGCATTAAATCAAGCACTAAGCCTTCATATAAAAGCACCATATTTGGTTCATAGGTTTCTGATTTAGAAGACTCATGGTTCATATCAAGCATGCTTTAGTGTTTTACTAGCTGTCTCCTGACTTGCGTCTGTTCCAAGTTAAATGGGTCTAATGACTGGGATCCAAGTTCCATACCTGTTTTGCTTCCAGTACTTAGGGTTGTTTTTTCAATGGAGTCATTCTTGTCCGATGGAAGTGATAGCAAACCGTGACTCAGATGTGGTCTAGAATGTCCACAAATAAAAGCAGTAGGAACCAGGAACACAGGAACAGTTTACAGTGGGAGTTGTCACCCTGTGATCTCTGTAGGAAAGACAGATTTACTGGAGGGTCAGTTTTTATTTTTAATGTAGCTCTTGGTTCTTAAATCACATTCTCTCAGTGGGTTCACCAGACTTAATGTGGAAAAGCAGCATATTTGGTGAGATCCCTCTGGTTATGTACTTAAATCTGCGGTGGCAGTCATCCCGTCTGAGGCTGTTAATTAAGGATTTTTATTCCAAATGTGCGACACATTTGCCGAGGCAGGAAAAACTTTAGTTCTGCTAAACCTGCAGTATTCATGTGAAAGACACTACTTTGAGTTGACTTTGTTAATGAAAATTATCAGTGAGAACAAATCAGTGTACATATTATTGCCTTGTTGCTTCAGGGAGGTGAACCAAGAATCTCATGGGTGCATGCATGTAAACATATTTGTGTTGCGATATCCCAGTTCCTGTAGTTCACAGGAACTCTGCTCTGGCAAGCAAGAAGGAGGGAGCAATGCTGGTTTGGCTACCTCTAGCATAGCAGCAGCAGGTGGTAGCAGGCCTCCTGGAAACTTTGGAATGTCCCCTTTCATGAGGACAGAATTCTTGTTCTGAGAAGGATGGCTGATAATAGTTGTAATATCAGGGCCTTCACAACAACACAAGGGATGATAAAACTAAGAAGGAGGAATGCATCCATGCTTCTTTCTGGTAGCTATGTGACTTGCTTGAAATCTGTATGGGAACAAGGGATTCCCGCTCACAGTACTGTTTTAGGCAAACTGCAGTGGTGATGCATTCTGTTCTTATTTTCTGTGCATGACTCCTGTGAAATTAACTTCAAAACACCTTCAAAACATGGCATGGAATTTGATCCAGAATGTTTGTAGAATGATGTATCTCCCCACCCAATTCTAAGCTCTTTCATAGGAAATATTGAACTTTGGAGGAGGACAATGGGGGAGGGAGCTTGTTGACAGTGGGAGGAACCATTTTTATTTAGCATTGATGAATGTAAGAAAGAGGCACCGCTGGCTCATGCAGTTTGCCATTCCAAGAACGTTCTGTACCGGGGGCAAAAATAATTATTAACACAAAGTCCGTCGATAATAAATGCTGAACATACTCTGCTACAGTTGTGTTCAAAATTATTCAACCCCCAATGCTGTAAAGGGGTTTAGGGACTATAGTGTACATTTGGAATTGTATTCAGAATGAAATCCTACAAGGACGTTTTAAAGAACCAAATGCAACTAAAATAACATCAATTGTTTATGTAATACAGTAGTAAATGTTTCTTTTGTGGTTTCTTCATTGCCACAATTATTCAACCCCTTAAAGACTACCACTCTGAAGAAGAGAGGTTCATTCAGGTGTTTTCGATCAGGTATTGAAAACACCTGTGGATGTCACCGAGCACCAATCAAGCATAATAAGCACCAATTAGGCAGCTTTAAAATGACTGTGATACTCAGCTCCTTCTAGACATTTACTGGTGTGGTTACAAACATGGTGAAGTCAAGAGAATGGTCCAGGAACACAAGAGAAGAGGTGATTTGTCTTCACAGGAAGGGCAATGGCTATAAGAAGATTGCAAAGAAGTTAAACATACCAAGAGACACCATAGGAAGCATCATTCACAAATTCAAGGCAAAGGGCACTGTTGAAATGCTACCTGGTCGTGGAAGAAAGAAGATGCTGACTTCGACTGCTGTGCGCTACCTAAAGCGTAGAGTGGTGAAAAGTCCCCGTGTGACTGCTGAGGAACTGAAAAAAGATTTGTCAGATGTGGGTATAGAAGTTTCAGCTCAGACAATAAGGCGCACACTGCGTAATGAAGGTCTCCATGCCAGAACCCCCAGGCGCACCCCCTTGCTGTCTCCCAAGAATAAGAAGAGTCGACTGCAGTATGCCAAAAGTCATGTGGGCAAACCACAAAAGTTGTGGGATAGTGTTCTGTGGACTGATGAAACAAAATTAGAACTGTTTGGGCCCATGGATCAACGCTATGTTTGGAGGAGGAAGAACAAGGCATATGACGAAAAGAACACCTTGCCTACTGTGAAGCATGGCGGAGGGTCAATAATGCTTTGGGGCTGTTTTGCTTCTGCAGGTACAGGGAAGCTTCAGCGTGTACAAGGTACCATGAATTCTCTTCAGTACCAGGAGATATTGGATGAAAATGTGATGCAGTCCGTCACACACCTGAGGCTTGGGAGACGTTGGACCTTTCAACAGGACAATGATCCCAAGCATACCTCCAAGTCCACTAGAGCATGGTTGCAGAGGAAAGGCTGGAACATTTTGGAGTGGCCATCGCAGTCACCAGACTTAAATCCGATTGAGAACCTCTGGTGGGACTTAAAGAAAGCAGTTGCAGTGTGCAAGCCTAAGAATTTGACTGAACTGGAGGCTTTTGCCCATGAAGAATGGGTGAAGATACCCGTAGATCGCTGCAAGACACTTGTGTCAAGCTATGCTTCATGTTTAAAAGCTGTTATAACTGTAAAAGGATGTTGTACTAAGTACTAAGATTGAATGTCACTTGGGGGTTGAATAAAAACTAATAATGATGTGAGCACAGAAAAGACATTTGTGGTTATTTCATTATAAACTTAAGGTTATATTTCTCTGACCTACAAGTGCCTCTTTCATGTAAATGTAAGCAAGATGACTGAATGATCAAAATCAATGTCAAAATGGCCAAAACATTCAATTTCAGTGGGGGTTGAATAATTTTGAACACAACTGTAGGTGTGAGTAAAAAAAAAAAAGTATATTCGGTGATACGGCGGCATCTCTCAGAGGCTTGATATTTGTTTACTAGATGTTCTGTTGATCATTGTGTTTTGCAGTGCAGCCCAGAGGCTCAATTCCTCACTATACCACTGAAGTGACTGAGACCTCTATTGTTGTTACTTGGACACCAGCACCGAGAATTGGCTTCAAGGTAGGGAAGGAGCTCTCCCACCCTTGTGGTGTTTCAAATCACAGCAGTCCTTGGAGTCAGACTTGCTCAGTGGGGAAGAACAGATGACTTGGGTCTAGAGCAGGGCTGCAGAATCTGTGGCCTTCCAAGTATCGTTGGACCACAACTCCTGTTCTCTCTAGCCAGCACTGACAGTCGAAAAGGCGATGGCCATTGCAGCCTAACAGCAACTAGAGAGTCACGTGATCTCTAGTCTTACTCTAAAGCTTAGTCATTGTTAGTTTTTGTTTCATCGCTTGTAGTAGCACTTTAGGCATTGGATGAAAGACATATGCTTCAAGCTGGGTCAGAGAATAATTGAGTTGGAAGAGGCCTGTAAGGCCATCAAGTCCAGCCCCCTATTCAGTGCAGGATAATGTGGCAGATAAAGAATTACTAGAGAATGTATTCACAAAGAAGGCAATGAGATCAAAGCCCCATACTGACTCTGGTGACCTCATCAGCCTGGCACGGTTTGTTTTCATTTTTTCATCCCACTTTTCAAAGTTGTTCTTGTGTTGGCTGTTAAGTTTGATTTGCAGAAGGTAAAACCCAACGTTCAAACAGTGAATTTTAAAGTAACTTCTTAAAACAGTAAACAACAACAATACATGGGCAGTTTGAGTAATTAGATACCCAGCTGGAACAATAGATTGGACTCAAAACAAATTAGAAGAATTGGACCAAAAAACACAGCAACTAATGAACATGCATCACGCACTACATAGAAAAAGTGATGTGGACAGATTGGAGACTATGGATTACTGCAAATACAGCAGGTAGTAGATGAGGAAAAAAGAAACCTAAATGATTATATCAGTACAAGCAGAGAAAAATTACTTGAGGCAGTGAAAATGGAGAGTATTTTGAAAACAACAGAAACAAAGGCTCAATATAAGAAACAACAATTTGAAAATAAACAGCTGGAAAAATAAACCACTACATGGACAACACCTGAGAAATATTGATGGAAAACATTATCATAATTCAACATGGACATGGCTAAACCTGGTGACCCTTAAGAAGGAAACCAAAGTCTTGGTTTTTGCTGCACAAGAACAAGCTCTCCAAACCAACGTGATGAAAGCTAAAATCCAAGGAATCAGCGCTAACAACAAATGTCAACTCTGCAAGAAAAAGATGAAACTGTGTCACACCTCATCTGTGAATGTCCAAATACTGTATTGCAGAAACAGAGTCGAAAGCTAGACATGACAGAGTGGCAAAGTTAGTGCACTGGTCATTAGGCAAAAAATATAATTTGCCAGCCTCCAAGAACCCATGGGAATATCAGGTAGAGAAAGTGTCAGAAAATGAGGAAGTCAAGATCCTGTGGGATTTCCGGATCCAAACTGATAGACACCTTGAACATAACACACCAGACATAGTAGTAATAGAATGAAGAAATGTCTGGATCATTGACATTGCAATTGCAGAGGATGCCAGAGTTGAAAATAAAGAATTGGAAGAACTAACAAAGTACAGAGACCTGGCAATCGAAACATCTCGCCTCTGGAAAAAGCACACTTTAGTGGTCCTCATAGTCATTGGGGCTTTGCAAACAATATCAAGAAAATTCACACAGTACTATAAGCAGTTGCAGATCTCAGAAATCACACCATCAGAGCTCCAAAAGAATGGCAACATTAGGAACAGCATATATGCTGCACTGATATTTAACAGATACTTATGTTTTTGGCTAAAACTTGCATCTGTTTTATAATACCAGGCAATGTTTTTATAATTTTGACTGTGCCTAGTGTTTTTCAACAACAACAACAAAGAAGAAAAAGTGGAAAGATTTTTTAAGATAAAGCATCCTGATGAAATGAGGCTGTGAAAATGCTGCCTGGCGTATGATGTCCCACAGTTCATGTGGCCTTCAAAGGAACTTTGCTCAGCATCCTTGTTAATCATTTGTAGACATGGTAGTTTGTGTTATCTGCCATCCTGTCAGAGCCAACTTGCAGCAACTCTAATAGGGCTTTCCAGTTAAGGGAGAGATTTTATTTTAGCAGCTCCACCTTCCCATGGCCCAATGCAAATAAGAGCTCAGGTCTCCTGAAAATGTCTCTTAGTGGGCTAGTTCTGATGGTATCTCTACCAAAACCATGCAGATTCTATCACATTAAAAGCTTAATTTGGGGCCGAGAATGAACTTTCTGAAGATGTATAAAGATGTGCCATATGAGTAATTAAAGAAATATACTCTAGGACGTTTTATGGACTTTAAAATATTCTACTTGCAGTTGCAGTGGTTGAGAAGGTGGCTGGAGGCACAGCCGTAAATGGTACCCCCACGCCCAGAGTTAAGACACACCGTGGCCACAAGCCACCCTTGTTCTCAAGAGTATAGATACTGTAACAGTCGTATTGAGCAGGGTGTGATTCTTCATTCTTTTCCTTCTGTAGCTGGGTGTGCGGCCAAGCCAAGGTGGAGAAGCTCCGAGGGAGGTCATCTCTGAGTCTGGGAGCATTGTCATATCTGGACTGACTCCTGGTGTGGAATACATTTACAGCATCACAGTCCTCACAGATGGCAAAGAGAAAGATGCTCCCATAGTCAAGAAAGTAGTAACACGTATGACACATTTGTTATTGTTGTTCTGTGTGCTGATAAGTTGCCCTCAGTTTATGGTGACCCCATGAATGAGTGATCTCCAAAACGTCCTGTCTTCTGCTTTCCTCAGCTCTTGCAAACTCAAACCCGCAGGTTCCTTTAGGGAATTAGACCATCTCATATTGGGTCTTCTTCTTTTCCTGCTGCCTTCCAACTTTCCCAGCATTATTGTCTTTTCCAGAGAATCCTGATGTGTCCAAAGTAGGACAGTCTCAGCCTCAGCATTTTTGCTTCCGGAGATAGGTGAGGCTTGATTTGATCTAGAACCCGCTTGTTCATCTTTCTGGCAGTCCAGGGTATCTACAAAGCTCTCCTCCAGCATGACATTTCATATGAAACATTTTTTCTCTCTGGAAGCTTTCTTATGTCAGCTTTCACACCCATATATGGGTGACTGGAAATGATCTTGGTCTTGGTCTCCAGCGGCACATCCTTACACATGTTGTCTAGTTCCTTCATTGCTGCCCTTTTGAGTCTCAGTCTTCCTCTGATTTCTCGGCTACAATCTATTTGGATTGAAAGTATACAAAATTTCAATTTTTTCATTGTTAATGCTCAAGTTATGTAGTTCTTCTGTAGTCACGATTTTGGTTCTTCTTGATGATCAGCTGCAGTCATGCTTTGGCACTTTCTTCATTCACTTTCACTAAAAAACATTTCAGATAATTGCTGCCAGTAAAAGGGTGATATCTGCATATCTCAAATTATTAATGTTTCTTCCACACCTCCGTCAGCTGAATCTAATCCAGCTTTCTGTATGATATGTTCTGTGTACAGATTGAACAGATAAATGGATAAAATGCACCCTTTGCCTGTAGGAAACCATTCTGTCTTTCCAATATTCGGTCCTAGCAGTAGCTTCTTGTCCACAATACAAGTTACACATCAGGGCAATCAAGTGCTAAAGCACACCCATTTCTTTCAGAACAGCCCATCGTTTCTCATGATCTACACAGTCACTTTGCTGTAGTCTATAAAGCCTACATAGATCTTCTGAAACTCTTTGATGCACTCCAGTAGCAAGCAGATGTTTGCAATGTGATCTTGAGTCTCTCTTATTTTTTGAAGTCCAGCTTGACCATCAGGCACTTCTTGCTCCATATAAAGTAAAAGCCTTTGTTTCAACACCTTCAGCATCAGTTTGTGTGCATGGGAAATCAAAGCAATGGTCCCGTAGTTATTGCATTCCTTGGCCTCTCCTTTCTTGGGGACGGGAATGTATATTGAATGTATCCAGCCTGTGGGCCATTATTTTGTTTTCTATATTTGTGGATACATTTAACCATCAGCTAATAGGCAATGATATGAGGCCAAGCATCCCAAAGTCATTTATTCTTGGAATACATCCTCACTGTAGTCAGTGGAATTATTTTTGAATCAAATGGCTTCTTAGTAATCATGCCAAAATGTGTTGGAGCCAGGAGAAGGAGCATGTATTCTTGCTGCTTACAAGTCAAGTGAGCTTATGGCCATGGTGTTTACTGACATGGTCCTCTAGAAGCACTGTCAGGTAGCCCAGGGAAGCTCCACTTACAGAAGGCACATTCCATCTTATTTTTGGACTTTCCTCCTTTCTCCCATGTCAAAACTCAGTTCATTTATGATTCTCTTCTAATTCTCTGTCCAGCATTGCTGGCTTGGGGAGGCGAGGGCTGCAATGGGGAAGAAGTGGCACAGCAGTCTGTTTGAGACAGTCAAGGTCTTATATTTAAGTCTCTACCAGTTGACCCATTGGAGTCAGTAAGTTTTAGAGTGCTGGTTTGTCAGGGACACAGTGGAAGTTAGAGAAACAGCTCTTGAAAATGTGTTGATGTTCACCATTGCATTCCTAGGGAAATCCTAAAACATGTTTTTTAAAAAAATCTCTTGCAGCACTGTCACCACCAACCAACCTGCGCCTTGATTCAAATCCTGACACTGGTATTCTCACTGTCTCTTGGGAAAGAAGCACAACTCCAGGTATTTATACTTGGCTAAGTATTTTCCTCTTGACTGACCCAGTGTGCCAGATCTGCTCACACATTGCTTGGCTGTGGCAGTTCAGCTAATACTTTTGGATGTTGTTATTGTTAACCAGATCTTGAATATATTACTTACAGTGGAAATTCTAATACAGAAGTCAGCTAATAAAAGGATATTTTGCAAAGCAGAAGATCGGTTTTGAAACCAAATTGCATCACCAAAAAGACACCCATTAGCAGAATGGGGTGGGATTAACTCTGGCTTTCCTAAGCTTGTTTGTTTGTTTATTTGTTGCTTTTGAACTCTTTCGTAGAGGAATGAGAAATGAGCACCAGTGCAGACCATAGATCTGTATACCTCAAAATTTATGAAATTCATTGTTTATATTTTTTGAAATATTTTGAAACATAATCCTCTTCTTCTCAAGTATCTGCAGGACAAACGCACCCTCGGGGATATCCTACATCCCATGAAAAAAAAGTATCTCATGGGATTTTGAAGAAAGCTTTGAATTTTAGGAATTTATGGAAAAAACCAAAATGCATTAGCAGAGTTTGGGGTGTATTAAAAATTAAAAAACCCATATTTGTCAGTGGCAGTATCTGTCTTAATTCAAAACCAAAACCCAGTCTACAAACAGCAACACATGTCTTCACCACTGGTCAGAACAGAGGGCCTTAAAAGTATTTTAAAGCTACTCTTGCTCTCTCTTTGGGTTTCCATAGTTGAACATGAAGAGGCATCCAATATGGCAAAGCACACACATTCACACATCAGGAATGCATGATCACATTGTGAGATTACTTTGGCTGACACACAATAAGTATTTTTTTCCAGTGATCTGGTTAAATTTAATTTTTCATCCATCTCCATCATTGGAGATGGTTTGTTTTTTTGGCCGAACGGGCATTCGGCATTTCCCAGCCTCACCCTGGGTTCTTTGCCCCACCTTTTCCTGGAGCTGCCTCTTGAGTGGGCACATGAGGTGATCCAACCACCATTGTTGGTCACCATTCTTGCACACGCTCTTCACCTGGAAAGATGTAAAGGTTCCATGCCGGCCCACTGAGCCTGGAGACCCCTCCAGCCACGTGGGGACCCAGGACCACCTGTTTGTGCCCATCTCTCTTCATTATCATTTGCAACTTCCCTGGTGTACTCGCTAGAGAGAATTGAACAGAAGAACAGAAGAACAGAACAGTACACCACTTCCCTGGTGTACTCGCTAGAGAGAATTCTTGCCATCAGATTCTGAGTATTAAGTTTATTTCATATGTTAAAAAATACCATTCATTTCTAGCTTCAAGGCAGTCCTAATAGGAATATGTTATTGATATTTCTGTGTTTCAGAGATTACTGGATACAGAATTACTACTGTTCCAACAAATGGGCAGCAGGGCTACACTCTTGAAGAAGACGTTCATGCAGACCAGACATCCTGCATCTTCGAACATCTGAGTCCTGGTGTGGAGTATAATGTCAGTGTCTATGCGGTCAAAGATGACCAGGAGAGCTTGCCCATCTTTGAAACCATCACCCAAGGTAAAATTTAAACTTGACCATCAGATCTTGCCGATTTCTCAGGGGGCAGTTCTACTGATTTCTTGTACATAAGGAAGCAATTTGATCTTTGGTGAAGATGTTTTACTGATCCTGTGTACGCTCACTCTTAAATAAACCACTTTGGTTTTCATGGGACCCACTTCTGAGCTCAAGGTCATGGTCCTGGACATTAAATACAAATGTCTTGCAGTGTTCTGCTGCAACTGTATACCTAGACATACACTGGTGTGTTGATCATCAGTGATGTGTTGAACAGCTCTCAGCTCAGAGTGCCTAAGCACCTCTGCTTACATGGAACGGGACAGAACTTTGGGCATGTACTATGTTTTGGGCTACAGCTCCCAAAATTCACCAGCCAGCTAATGCTGTTGCTGTCCCAGAGGAATCTGGGGCATATTGTCCAGAAAAGCAATTTTGACATGCTTTAGAAAGGGAGTATAGGGGTAATTTATTATTACTGTTCTTTTCATGTTGTACTTGATGAAGCCTTCAATATAACTATACTAGGTCAGTCAAATTTAGAGGCTGATTTCAGGGGCAGGAGGTATCCATATTAGTCTGTTGCAGTACAAAGATGAAGGAGTCTTGTCATACCTTATTTAGTTTATTTGAATATAGCCTCGGTAAACAGACATTTGTATAACTTACATGTAAACATCGTTTCTGCTGAGACTACATTCATTGTATCTGAAGAACTGGAATGCAGTTCACCAAAGCTGCTAGACAGATAAGACCCGCTAGACTTCAGAAGACTCCTTGTTCACTTGATGTTTAGTGGATGATGCAACTGAAAATAAATAGTTCCTGATAAATGAAAATATTCTAGCAGGTTCAGCCTGACAGGTGGTGGGAACTCTTGGGTAAAATTGACAAAATGCAAGATGTGAATGTGCTGTTAGCTGTCAGACTTGACAACAGGAATATCTAGAGATCTGAGGATCAGTTTTCTGAATCTGGGACATTCTGATGACTACGCTTATTGCCAAAGAACCTCAGTAGAAGTGAAACTGGTCAGAAAGCCACTTCTAGTTTTTAAAAATCAGTGTGTGTGTGTGTGCGTGTTAGATGCTTCCGGAATAACCTATTTAAAGGGTGGATTGCCACTAGTGGAGGCTTCCAGATGTGAAATTCATCTTTTAATGCAGGGAGCAAAATTGTTAGTGAAGCTTTGTGGGAGTCTTGAGAAATGGGCCCCACAAAGGTGGATGGTGCCTGCATTACACTGAGAACTAAGTATTCTATCTGAAGAATTGCTATGTATTTTGCAGAGACCCCATAAAACAAGGTGATTCAGCTATTACACAGTACCACATTGAATCCCAGCTTGTCCAAGCAAACCATATTATGTGAAGAATGGAACTTATTTCAATATAACCATACATATGGTTGCAGCTACAGACCAATAAAAGGCATCTCCTTGCTCTTTTTGTATGCACAAAAGTACATTTCTGAGCTAAAAATCTTATTTCTTGCTCTTCTGGTCTTGCAGAAGAAAATGGTCTGGGATGTCTCAGCCTGATCTTGTGCTTATAGGGCTGTTAAGTCCTAAACCTGTCATTATGGAATTTTTGTCTAATTTTTGCTAAACCACAAAATGGCTTCCAGCTGTATATTTGACAGACACTAGCTGTTAACGTTGCTTGATATTTCTCTGCTTGCACTGAGTCTTTCTTTGCTCCTGTGAGGAACTAACACACTGGTATGATTTCATTTGAACAATCAAGGCTTTAACCCAATGCCACTTTCTAAAGTAAAGAAGTACTAAAAAGGCATCTTCTGTATGTCTTCTGGTGCTTTTTTACAGGTGATATGGTAAGCGCAGCCTATGGTGAGAAGTGGTAATTTGGTGGGAAATTTGATACTTTCTCTTTCAGTTCTGTGCAATATAGATGACTGGTTTTCCATAACAGAATCACCAGGGTTCTTATTTATTAATGTTTTGGACCAGATGCAGACCACCTGCGATACACTTCATGTAATATAAAGCCTGCTTTCAAATGTATTGTTAGACTATTAATCCATGGTATCCTTAACATTAGAAGCAAGCTCTGAAAATTATGACTAGAACATTGATTACAAACATTACTGTTTACCTTACAAAGATGGGTATGTAAGGATTGACCTGTACACTTAATAATGTTTAGAAAAGTTCACATTTATGAAAGACTGGCTTTTCTAGATTGCTAAAGCTTGTAGGAATGAATGTTGGCTTTTCAAGCCAAGCAGATTCAGATTATTTAGGTAATATTTAAGCAATATTTGTCATTGTGTTATTGATTTTAAAAGAAGAGGTCAAGAATGCTGACCAACTGGCTGAGGCACTATTTGACTACATTCCTTTTTATTTCTGGATATGTATAGTATGTGGGTTTGGCACTGTACAGCTGCTTTTCCCATGCTGCCCCATTTCTGCTCTGGCACTAGCTGCCTCCCTTGTAGGCTATAGGCCATAGGGACTACCTTTAGTAGTAGTAGTAGTAGTAGTAGTAGTAGTAGTAGTAGTAGTAGTAGTAATAATAATAATATCTAATTAACAGAAAAATAGATACATCCCAGTTCAGTGGTTTGAATGCAGAAAAATATTCAGCCAAGCCATCCCATGGCTTTGAGCAGCAGCTGCATCTGGCAAAACATTCTGAACCCAATGATCCTATGTGACCCACATGGAAAATACATAACCCAGGCAAGCTATCGCTCACTACTAATTATTATACAAGGAAGATAATATTGGCAACCCCCTGTACTATAGTCAAAGAATTAGTTCTTCAAACACATGGATTAAAGAGTTAGCTGACAAGGATTCATACAGTCTTGCCAAGGTGGTAATTACTGAGAGAGATGGGCTGTCAAGATTCCAATTTTGTTCTGCTTTTGCATATTGGATTGGTGGCCAGTTTAAGCTCTCTGTCCTCAGTAAGAACTTCTTTTTTTGCTGCCAGAGTGTTCCATGCCATTGTGCTTTAAAAACTCTAAGAATACATCAGATTTTATGTAAAATAAATGTTTTTTTAAAAGAATTTATCAGAGGGGTCGAACATGTAGTCAGTGGTTGAGTATTATAGATGGTGGGTTTATTACTGAGAGGGAGACATTACATATCACCATAATGACTATTTGCTTCATGTTTAATTCATGTGACCTGATAATCGCTGCTTTTTTTTCTCTTCCTTCTTGTTGATGTGTTTTGCCTCTGTCTCTGCCTCCCCACTTGCTCTCTAACTAAACAGAGGTGCCTCAGCTCACTGATTTAAGCTTTGTTGACGTAACTGATACAAGCATCGGCCTGAGGTGGACCCCGCTAAACACCTCCACCATTATTGGCTACCGCATCACGGTGGTTGCAGCAGGAGAGAGTGTCCCCATTTTTGAAGATTTTGTGGACTCTTCAGTAGGATACTACACAGTTACAGGCCTGGAGCCGGGCATTGATTATGAGATCAGCGTAATCACACTCATTAATGGTGGAGAGAGTGCGCCTACTACGCTGACTCAGCAAACTGGTGATTGTTGAAGACCTATTGTGTTAGAGTACTGTTCCATGATGTCACTAGCTGCTTGGACGAGTCTGACTTTCTCAAAGAAAATAGGGACTGTCTTTGGGGTATATGTGACCAAGAGACCTTTTATTTTAGACACCTAATGGGAACAGAAAGAAACAGAACTATATACCTACGGTTTCCTTTTTGGAGTTCCTGCATTCGGCAGTTATGAACTGTGTTTCATTTGCAATTCTTGGTTGACCTGCATTCCAACCGGCTTTTGCAGTTGTATCCCTGAAGTTCAGATGGCTCTATAATTCATTTTCACATGATCCCTGTGAGAAAGAGCATGAGTTTGATCATGCCACCATTCATATCTGAGCTGTGCTTAACCTTATATCTCAAAAGTTTCAAATCCAGCATTCTGTTCACATTGGCTCTCCCTGCTGTATCACAGTTCATTATCCTAATTCTTACTCATTACTGCAGTGGTCCTGACTGCTCATGTATTTCCTCAAAATGGTTAGGGAAGAAAAATTCCTCCAAACTCATGCTAGTGGCAGACATGACAGTCTGTGTAGGTATCGTGTGTGTGTGCATGTACAGAAAATGACCTTAGAATTTGTTATGCATGGAAGACATCTCTGTTTACCTTTGCTGTATGGAGCCCTAATAACTATCTACCTTAGAAGTAGCTGTAAAGTCCTAGAGACTTCACAGCTATCAATCAATCTTTGCTCCATATGCATGTCAGTGTTGTTGAACTTTGAGCTGGTGTGGAGCAAACGGAGCCTTTCTGGTTTGATACTGGTTTCGAATCTGTGACGGCTGGGCTGAGAGATTAAAGATATAACTTTAGTGGAATGAAACATTACAGTGTTACATTAACTTTAATGGAATGAAATGTGGCCTAATAGTATGTTTGCATGAGTTTGAATCAGTAGTGGATTGCGAGGGAGCGTTGCATGAAATTGTTTGGATATTTGTGGACCACTGTTGAATCAAATGCCATTTCCTCCCCAAATACTAATTGTTTCTCCTTGTAAATTCAGCTGTCCCTCCCCCAACTGACCTGCGTTTCACTAATGTGGGTCCTGACACCATGAGAGTCACCTGGACTCCACCAGCATCCATTGAACTGACCAGCTTCCTAATCCGTTTCTCACCTGTGAAGAATGAGGATGATGTTGCAGAGTTGTCCATCTCACCTTCTGATAATGCGGTGGTTCTAACAAGTAAGAGACGTGAACAACATTGTTCAGCTGTGAACAAGGCTTTTTAAATACTGTATGAAAAACTTGACTCTTTCACTTTGCCTCATGGGATAACAGAGTTGATAGTTTTACTCCCCTCACCTTTTGAGATGCCCTCTGGTTGTGTTGTGCTTTTTGAGTAGCACAGTCTCCTCTTAGAACTCTTGACAAATAAGTTGAGAAATGTAAGGAATTTCAAAAGCAATTTATCTTCTAGCCGTGGTTTTGAAAAAAGTTCAGCCTTCCTCTTGGGTAAGCTTAAGATAGTTCTTTAGATCTTCATCAGAGCTTATTTTAAGTATTAGGGTTAAGTATTAGGAGACAGCCCCAGCTGCTTTTAACAGTCATTGACCTGCAGTGCATAATTTCAAAAGGAAGGTAAACATTGAAGGGACACTGACCTCTTTTGCTGAGCAGGGTTTGGAAAAACAACTGCACCTCTTTAGGTTTTGCTGACATGTCAGTTTTTAGCTAGTATGAAATTAGTTTTAAACCTGGGACAAAAATTAAACATTCTGTTGGTGGTAGTGAGTACAAAAATGGTACATTTTCAGTTTAAAAAACTCATCAAAATCATGCCTGTGCCAAAACAAACATTGTGGTGGGAGAAGGAAGGGAAAGAGAGACTTTGCAGGTTTGAAAAGCCCTAGATCAGAAAAAGAGAAATGAATTTAGCAAGTGATAGTAAATGTTCACCTGGACTAACATTTAGAACTCTGGGCAGACCCATTTTTTTTGCATATAAATGCTTGCTGACAAAAAGAAGGAAGGAAGGAAGGAAGGAAGGAAGGAAGGAAGGAAGGAAGGAAGGAATTCTAGCTGAGGACATTTTCCAGATAGAAAGTTGAGATCTGCATTCTGTATAGACCGGACCCTAAACTGTTGCTGTTTTAATTCTTTAGATCTTTTACCTGGCACCGTGTATTTGATCAGGGTCTACAGCGTATATGACCAACATGAGAGTAAACCTCTGACTGGAGAACAGAAGACAGGTCTGTAGAATGACAAATGTTGACCAGGTTTTCCCTGCTCTCAGTTGTGCCTCAACAGGATAGCTCTGTGTGACAGCATTCCTTACACGTGCTCCGTAAAGAATGTTTTGTTCCTTCTAGTTTTCAAGCTCAGGTTTACTTCCACCAGAAGAGAAATTGTGACCTTTAATTTCTTATGCATTTGTACTTGGTCTGGAGGCAATCTCCAATCCACGTGAAGTCAGTTATGATCCTGTGCATCATCACCAAGAGAGATGTTCCACAGAATGCAGTGGGAGTTCTTCCCAAGTAAAGGGCCATCCCGGCACCCAACTGAAAGCAGTGCTAGTATCTCATGGCTCCTGACTTTTTCTCTTGATTTCCATGGGTCTTAATTGTCAGCACCTTTAGCTAAAGGAGAGTTACAGGTTTTACTGTATGATTTACAGTGGTGCCTCGCAAGACGATTGCTTTGCATGACGATGAATTCGCTTTACGATGAGGTTTTTGGAGCGATCTTGCGCTTCATTTAACAATGTTTCCTATGGGGGATTTTCGCTTTACGATGTTAGGGACTTTGCCTCGCAAGATGATTCAATTTTAGGTCCCTGTTTTTCGCTTTACAATGTTTTTGACAGCTTGGTCTTGCTTCACTATATGAGTCTTTTAATGGTCTCTGTTTCATTAGACAGCTGTCTTCACTTGGGAAACCCGTTTCGCTTAACGATGTTTCCTATGGGAATTTTCGCTTTACGATGACAATCCGTTCCCATTAGAATGGATTATCAGGTTTTCAATGCATTTCAATGGGAAAACGTCTTTCACAAGACGATGTTTTTGCTTAACAGCGATTTTCACGGAACAAATTAACATCGTCTTGTGAGGCACCACTGTACTGTCACTCTTTTTAAAATAGGCCTTATTTGCCTCAGTGGGGTTCAGAGCTACTTTTAAAAACAAGCTTGTTGTGTTCTTCATTATTTCTCTCCAGCCAGGTTGCTATTGTCATGGCTTTATTTGCACAAATAACATGTCTTGAGTGGCTGTTAACAGCAACCAATACACAGAAATACTCTATAGTGGCCAATTCTGAAATTGTGTTTTACAAACATTTAGAAAAATACAAATGGTTAAAATCAAAGAACACGCCTTTTCCACTAAAGATTGTTAAGAAAATGGTATATATACCTGAAATATTCCTGTCAATATGTCTAAAAAGGCCTTAAAATGCCCTTGAAAACTGATTATTATGAAAAACTAGAAACTGTAACTAATTGTTTTTAAAAGTAACTTTGTAACTGCCTTTTATTGTACTAATACTGTAACTTTTTAGTTGTTCAGTATAGTATTTCTTACCCAATGTAACTAGTTATATATAAACTGTAACTAGGGGTGGGGTGCAAATCAAATTAACCCATCAGTAAAAACAACACCTTTATTAGAAGAAAAAGCTCACTGCAAGTAATTAGTAACTTGTACTTTATAGCTTCCAAGCTATGAGGCATCTTTATTCATTTCCCAAAAAGGGGTAGGATTTGATGTTTGAACAAGCTGTTATTGGTCACATCTTCACCTACTAATAGCCACTCTGTTGTCAGGAAGTGTCTTTCACTTCCCAATGTCTGCCTTTCTTTTTTGTATGCCTGCTCTTTTCCTTTTGAAAAGACATTGTCCATTTGATGTCCACCTATTTCATTTCTTGTAAAACAGGCATTGATTCCCCAACTGGCCTGGACTTCTCAGAAATAACAGCTCACTCATTCACTGTCCACTGGGTTGCCCCCCGTGCCACCATCAGTGGCTACAAAATACGCCACTCCCTTGAGCAAGGTGGAAGCAGACCCAAAGAAGTGCGCATCGCCCCATCTCGCAATTCCATCACCCTGACAGACCTGGTTCCAGGGTCAGAGTATGTGGTTAGCATTTCTGCATTCAATGGCAAAGAGGAGAGCTTGCCCTTGGTTGGACAGCAAAGTACAGGTAAGAGTTAGAGAAGGAAAAGAGAAAACTGTGGTTGCATCTAGCTACAACTACAGCTAGCTTGCCATCCCCAAAATGGAAGTCATTGCAGCAGAAGTCTTGCCTGCTGAGGCTGGACATGGGCTAGACATGTCACCTGGAAAGGACACATCAAAATCAGATGAAGCTTCTACATGTGAAAATATAACATCAAACATATTTTATTCTGTTAATTTTCATAGGGATGATCTTGTAAACTGGATTATGTTGTGTGTGTCTCCATCCATGCGTACATGTGTGTGTACTCCTAAGGACTTGCAAAAGATGCCATCATAAGCACAATAGTACATCAGGACAGACTGTGCATTGTCTGGACAGATCCGGCATTGAATATACACCTTCCTTTGGCCATTTCCTGTAGCTTCGAAGGGGAATTAATAAGTGAGGGTAATCGGTTCAGGGCATTAACAACATGGCAGGAGGAGGGTTCTAAAGTCCCTACTGGTAGTTGTAGCTGTTTTGTATGGGGAATGAAATGTCAGCGCGATGGATGTGTAATGTGGACAATGTTTTGTTTGTCAACCTCTCTATCTAGTTTCTGATGTTCCAAGGGACCTGCACATCACTGCCACCAGCCCCACCAGTCTGGTCATCTCTTGGGATGCTCCTGCTGTTACTGTCAGATACTACAGGATTACGTACGGTGAAACAGGTGAGCACCGTACGATGCCAATGCCTTCCACTGGGAATAACTGTAACCTCAAAGTGATAAATGTAGAGGATATATTGATCAGTATTTAAAACATACTGTATCTGGAGAGCCACACGTTGGCCTGAACGGTAGCTTCAGCTTCTGGGTACCCTTTACCATGGTGGCTTTGGGAGTCCCAAGTATCTTGGAGTCCAAGTGAGAAGGGGCTGAAGGGTGTTTTCTTCGTAGTGCAATTCACCCTTCGGTCCAAGGACTGGGTTCCTGAGTCTTTTCAAAAATTGCACAAGGCGTGTACATTGCCTGTGTCTTGATTGTAACACTGGTTCTTATGTGGATGGATAAAATTGGCTTGCTCTACTGTTGATTGATTTTTAAGGAAACTGCCTTAACAGATCTTTCCTTTAAGTGGATGTTTTAAATGTTGTCAATGACACCTCTGTGCTGTTGTTGTCATCTTCAACGGTCTTGCGCATTTGCTTACAGGTGGCAGTGGGCCTCTTAAAGAGTTCACAGTCCCTGGCCACGTGTCCAGTGCAACCATCCCTGGCCTTACTCCTGGAGCAGACTACACCATTACCGTGTATGCAGTCACTGGGCGCGGAGACAGTCCCGCGAGCAGCAAACCAGTCACCGTGAACTACAGGATTGGTAAGACCACATTTCTCCTACCTGGATGAAGGAGTTAAGCTAGTTTATCTCAGTCACCTCAGATGGTGATGCTGTTAATCCTAAACTACTCCTAAGCACAGAGCTGTTTGCAAAAAAAAAAAAAAAATTCTTCTTCTTATGCTGCCATGCTGGCTGGGGGATTTGGAGAGTTGTCAAATAAAAATAAACTTTTCTAAGCTCTCTAGGTAGTAATTGTTGGCATTCATCTCCATCTAGTTCAACCTTCTGTGCTCACCAGTGACCAGCTGAAAGCGCCTTGTCATTAGGGAATTACAATGACTGTGTTCCCCCAGTAGCTGGTGGCCCCCAGTCACTGCTATTTCGCTAGGTAGAGGTGTACTGCCTGTGATCATGGAGAGTTTGAGCCCTGGCCTAGCTGATAGGATAAGAGAGGCTTCCATGGGTCTGAACAGGGAAAGAGGAGCTTGGATGGATGCAGCCAATGGAAATGGTGGCGGGAGTGGCTTGGCAGAGTGAGTGGAACTTTTAGCACACACAGGTGTCTGTGTTGAAGGCACCAGCAGGTCTTTGTTTTAAGGATGAGGATAGATCCCTGAAAGTGGCTAAACTCTATGGTCCAGAACTGGATTAGACCAATATTGTTGGGTTAATGTACAATGCCCAAATTTGTAGGATGAATGTGATTTTAATTAATTGTCTGTTTATAACAAAATATTTACATAATGACAGTGATACAATAAAATGAAATAAAACAGAAAACAAGATCAGTAAAACCATTAACCAATAAAAACAATAATGAAATATTTTGACCATTAATTTACTTTGTATAATAAAAATAATAATCTTAGTCTTGCGGCTAAAGCCCAGGAAGGTAGGCAGTTCAGAAGTTGGGTCCACTACAGAAAATGCCCTTTTCTTACAGTGAGGAGGAATAAGATAAATACATGGAGCCATGTGCAGTTTCTTGCTGCGGATCCTTTTATTGTTCACTGTTTTGATCTTTTTTGGTTTTTTAGTTATATGTTTTGGGGATATCCATCTTTTTTATATTGCTGTTCCATTTGTTGCTCTACTGAATATTATTATTTTATTGGAATTGTGCTGTTTAATACAGTATGTCTTACTCTATACATCACCCAGAAGCTTCTTGTTATTGGGTGACAGGATAATGGAATGAACAGATGGATTTTCACTAAGACTTAAGGAAGTGAGAGCCGATGACTGAGAGTTAAATCCTGACACAGCTTTCAATTCTTCCCATGCAGAGATTGACACACCATCCCAGCTGCAAGTCACTGATGTTCAGGACAGCAGCATCACTGTGCGTTGGGAGCCTTCCTCTTCCCCAGTTAATGGTTACAGAGTGACAGCTGCCCCCAAGGACGGCCATGGCCCGACAAAAACAAGAGTCCTCTCTGCAGGTAAGAGCACTAGGTGCCTACTGTTTGGGAACATGGGCAGCACCTGTGAGTTCCAGGTGAAGAAAGAGAATCCGTAATTTCATCTTCACTTCCATGTAAGCCAAAGTGAGGCACCACCATTGCCACTTCCCTTGGGTTGGTTGCTCTGAGGTGCTGGGCCTGTATAGTCAAGAGGGGAACAAAATCCAGGACTGGTGGTGGCTGCAGGTAACCACACACTCACACACTGCAGCAGCAGCAGCAGCAGCAACAACCCAGCCCACTGGTGCCTCCTGCTGCAAGGGGCAAGGGGCACAACCCGCAAGTGACTCCCCTTCTTCAAGCGCTTATCAGGCAGACGTGGCTCCAAAAGGAGCTTGGGCCCTTAAGGAGGTCATGTGGATGACATAGTTATAATATAAAAGCAAGAAGACTTCTAGCATATATAAAGAATGAAAACTGCAAAAGCACACACATGCTTTGAAAAGCATGGAAGAACAGAAGAGAGTTCAACCATCGCCTCAACCAAGAGTTGGTGTATTGAAGCTGAATCTTCCCTGAAGCAGAGACGCAGGACTAAGGCTAGGGACAGGATCTTAAAAAATAAAAATAAAAATAAATCAACAGCACACAGCTAGAGCCAGGTGCCTCATAAGGTTTTTTTCATCTCAAACAATGAAGCTCTTCAGAAGCTTCAGGACTTTTAGAGGCAATGTGTGTTACATCATATGAGCTGTCCAAAGAAACAATTCCTAAATCCCTTAGTATATCTCAGGTTTGAGGCACCCACCACTGCAAGCACCCATTTAATGGGGGAGGGAGGACGAGTCTCCCTGCACAGCTGCCAAGGGGCCAGCGGAGTGAGGAGAGAGCGGCGCTCCGGGCGCGATTGGAAGGATGAGCAGGACTGCCTCTGCAGCAGGATGCGTGAGTGGACAGTATGGCTCCAGGGGCCGGACCCTCATTAAGTCCAGCTGCGCAGGGATATTCATATACAAATACCCCCATCTCTAGTTGTGTGAGAATCCCTAAGGTGTTATTTATAGAGGGGAATGCTTCAGACATTCACCAGTGTCTTGCAGAGTGTAAAGGCTTCATGCTGGCCGTGCTCCATGTTCCCACCAGCAATCTCCAGCTTGCCATTATGCAAGTTCAAAGCCCCCTGTCACAAACAATAGGGTTTTTACACTTGCGAAAAGGATTTGCAGGATTCTTCCTCGTGGAAACAGCATTTTAAAAAGGAACCATGTGCAGAGCGGATCTTTCCATGCATAGGGTGCCAGCCATGGTGTATAACATTTGCCACCCACTTGGGCTGCCCAACCTGTTCTGGAATGGCAGGACAACTTCCCTCCCACACTGAGCAGGCTTTATGGTCTTGTTAAATGTCATTCTGATACAGGAATTATTAAGCTGAATCCATAAGTGTATTGTTGCCAACATTGTTAATATTACTGACATTTGATTAGAAATATCTCATTCTGGCTTTGCACATGTTAAAGAGACCCTGCTGTACAATAAGTTGCATCAGAACTGGCTCCAGAGCAAAGAAATTTTGGATCAAAGCATATTTTCTTGTGGCAAAGTGTGTACATACATATAAGTCACATCACCTTTGTCCAGAACAAGTTGCCTTTCCACCTGGGGGACAATTGAACACTTTTACTCAGAGTCTGTGAGTTGTGACAGAATGAGGCCATGCATAAATAACCTTCATTCATGATTAATCTTTTACTGCCCTTTTGTTGCAGAACAAACGGAAGTTACAATTGACGGATTGCAACCTACGGTTGAGTATATAATTAGTGTCTACGCTCAGGGTCAAGATGGAGAAAGCCAACCTCTGGTTGAGACAGCTGTTACAAGTACGTATTTTGCATTTCCTTGATTTTTACAGCATAAATCTTGTATCTTTAAATGCCTTGAATCCACAGGAGATGTTTAGTGCTAGAACACTATGGAACACAATTTTAAAAAGAATTAAAAAATACGTTCATTTTTTTCACCAACACAACCTGGAGAAGCAGTCAGCATACAACCGCCATCCTCATCCCCATGAGCTGTGCATCTACTATAACTAAAAAGAGTCAATGCCCCTCCCCCAAAAGAAAAATAAATTTTAAAAAAATTGCCTTTGGCAAATAAGTGGGAAATGCTTCCTTTCTGTGGTAAGAAAGTAAAGGTGACTTGACTGAAGAATACAGAGTCTGTTTACCTGATATCTGATACTTCACCATGATGAAAACATCTCTGTATTCTTCCCCGAAGCTTGTGAAAAGAAAAATAAGCAGGGAAGATGAAATTAATTTCAAGGCTGACATATGAAAGCTGAATTTCAAAGTTTAAAACTGAATATCAAATTTTGAAAAATAAAGTGAAGGGAAAAAACTTCCTGTGAAGAGTTATATATTTGCAGCAGTGTTTGCAAACATGAGGCAAACCTGTGTGGTAAATTCATCAGCCTGAATATTCAGTTTTTACACTGTGTTATGCCAGGCTGGTGCCAACCTGAGAGCAGCGATGGGAGAATGTAGAGGTTTAAGCTTTCCCAGCACATATGCCTCAACTGTGTGGAGAGAAATCCCCTAGGAGTCCACAGAGCACTCTTTGTTCTCTCCTCTCTTAGCAAGAGAATGGGTGAGGGCTGTGCACACACACCCCTGTTCCCCTCCAGCCCGGGGATGTGGCTTGAGAAACGGTGGCTCTCTGAGTGTGGGTGGGCGGCAACTCTCATGTTTTCTCACCAGTGGGTCCAGCCGGGTGGGGCTCTTGGGATTTGCAGTCTGACAGCATTCGGAAGGCTAGCGCTTCTGCACGTGCAGGATCCTCCCTGCGAACAGAAGCTGTGTGTTTTCAAGGAAGGTAAAAATCATGAAATAAAAGAAGAAAGAAGTAATGTGCTGAAGCCTGAAATTCACACAAATCAATCACCATTTCTTTCCAGAAAGTATAGAAAACAACCACTAACATCACTGTAATCGGTGAAAGAAAAAAATCAACAGAAATTTGAATCTTGCCTTGAAAACAAAGGGCCTTCTCCTTGGCTCACCGTAATTGAATCAAAGTCCTGTCTTGTGCAGATGTAAGGCTCACTGCATCCTGTAGGAAGGACATCCTGCCGAGTGTGTTTGCTCAGGATGGTCCTGCTAGTTTTCCTGACAGCTTTTGAATGGAGTTGCGCTAATCTCTGCTATCCAAGAGCTGCTTCCGGTGTCAGCCGTTTGGTACATGGAAGCACTTCCAGGCCTCACTTCTGTTTCCACAAACATTTTGAGGTGCATGAATTGTAGAACACCTGAAGCTCCTTTCGTCTGTCCCAGAGCTCTAATATTAAGCCTCCAATCGGGAGGGTTTGGGGGCATGGAAGTGACTCACTAATGCGCTGAAATGCCAGCCTCAAAACTGAAATTCTGGCTTGTGGAAATACTACCCTTAATTGGTGCTTGCATACATATTATCCTTTTTAGATCAGCATCTTACAAACACATTCTGTAATTTGCAAAGAGAATTTTTGATCAAATAATCGGCGTGAGGTTGTTAATTTGTGAAGAGCAAAGATCCGCCTGGTGCTTTTTGCAGTAAATTACAATCCTACAGGCTGACAGCCTGCCTGGTTCTTTGTTCATGCTGGTGCAGAGCACTTGTTGTAAAAGAAGTGACCCAGCACAATCCCTCTGTCATGTCAAGGCCTCTGCTAGTAAAATGGACTGCAGGCCACAGGACTTTGTGTCACTCGATGGAAGAGTTGTTACAATCTTCAAAAAAGCCTGCACCCATTTCAACTTGCTTTTCTTTTTGTTCATTGGATTCTCAGCTCCTTCCTTGCTTTTGCCTCTCCCACCTTCTGGGCAGCAGCAAAAGCAACCGTCTTAACAATGAAATCTGCTGATTTGAACAGAGGTGTGTTACCGTGACTGGGACAATCCTTGAAAAGACTGTGCAATTAATACAGGTTGGAATTGTTATTTTCTGGGGCTACAACTTCTGCGTTCGCCCACCAAGCCTAGCGGGTGGCTATGTAGTCCCAGAAAGAAGCATTTCCAAGGTCTGCTGCTTTTACTAGGTGGCTCTCTGCAACAGCATGATGAAAACTGGGCAGTTTGAAGCGGATGGAAACTCTTACTGTGCTGTGGTCAATGCCTTCGGGAGACTTCCAAGGCAGTAAAAGAAGAAATTCCCTTCTATTTCTGAAGGTGCAGAAATAGAAGATGGCTTTGCATGCTGATAATGAAGTGCTTTGTGCCACCCCAAATCTACTTCCCCCTTCCCCCCTCTGCTTAACCTTTCACCATTAATTTGCCTAACAGACATTGACAGCCCTAAAGGACTGACATTCACTGAGGTGGATGTCGATTCCATCAAAATTGCTTGGGAAAGCCCACAGGGGCAAGTCACCGGGTACAGGGTGATCTACTCAACCCCTGAGGATGGAATCCGAGAGCTATTCCCTGCTCCTGATGGTGAAGACGACACTGCGGAGCTGCATGGCCTCAGGCCAGGTTCTGAGTACACGGTCCGCATCGTTGCCTTGCACGATGACTTGGAGAGCCTGCCTCTGATTGGGACCCAGTCCACAGGTACACACACAGAGCAAAGCCACAAAGCGCTGCTCCTTGAGGGCATGGCTGGCTAGAATGGCTTCCAGGGGCACCTGGTCCCCCATCAATGGGGAACCTTGTGCAAGGGCCATTGGGAGGGGTGGGCTGTCATGAAAATGATGGCTTCTTTTGGGTGGACAGGCAGGTGTTGGAGGTTTCTGGGTAAACCATGAAAGGCCTGATGAGTACATGCTGGTTTGTTTATTTTTAAAATTCCATTTTAAAATGTATGGTTCTTTTGGCCTAAATGCCACCCCCCTACAACCTCTAATATGAAAATGTTGATGTTTAGAGCAGCAGGATGTGGCTTTGGATCCAAAAGCACCGACCACTTCTCCTCCAATGTTTATGAATTTCCCTTCCCTTTACCATGTTATACCCCATGTCATTTATCCAGGAGCAGTTTTCCTGGAGGGACCAACATGGGGAATGAGTTACTCCAGTGAGGAGGGGTATCATAGGCCTGTTGGTTCTAAGTCACACCCAATGGTCAAATGGTAGGGTGGAACGAAGTGTCATATTGTTTCATAAGAAGTCAGTGGTGGTCAGATGATAAATTTCTGAAGAGATAGCTTGTTAATCTGTCTCAGCATGTTGATGAAATTAATGACGGGAAAAAGAAAAGGAAAAACGAAAGAGGAAATGTTGTGGCACCTTAAAAACTAACCAATATGTATCAGTGTGAGCTTTCGTGAATCAAAATCCACTTGTGTTTCAGGAAGTGGCTTCCATGGAAACTCATGTTAGAAGAAACCTGGCAGTTTTTTAAGGTGCCACAACATCTCAAGTCACTCTTTCCCCCCCCCCTTGTTTTCTTTCACCTCACACTTTTAATTTGATCAACATATTTGATTAAGAGAATCATAGATCTGATCTTACGAAATTTGTCCACGTCAGAATAGTTTGAATCTCCTTCACTCTTTCAGAAGGCCTGACTTTTAAAAATAATTAAGTGAGAATTTTTAACTAGCCACCACCTAACCCTAGGAAATCAATTGACATCATATTCTTTGTACTCACACTGCACAAAGATGAATCAATGGGATTGTGAAGATTGTATCTATAGGAAATAATGGCTGGAATCCCATTGGATTTTTACACATGCAGAAGGCAGATGGCATAATATTCACTAGCTTATAAGTTAAGAAGTCACCACACTAGAGAATCCCAGTAGGGTCTCACTAATCACAGGCTGGAAGTGAGTGAATGTTACACCATTTGCCGTTTGGAGGTGTAAAAAAGCAACAGGATTTCAGCCAACAAAAGCTGTTGATTAAAAAAAAGAAGATGCATGGTAATCTTAGATATATCCCTTCAAGCCAGCAAGTCTTGAGCAAGCCCTCTGGAGATCTACTCAGACATTTTCATTGGTCTACCCTCATTTTTCCACTTCCTCTTCAGGTGCTTGCAGTCCTTCCTAAAATTTGGGGAAGTTATTTCCATTGGGAGTACAACTCTCAGAATCTCCCTCCCACCATGGCAAGTTGCATGTGGGCTGGGAGACTCTGCGTGTTTTCATTCAAAAAGTTTTAGAGGCCTTCCTTGCGTATCCTTTAACCATAATCCCTGGTGTTTTAATAAAAGAACATGGATTGAGTTGTGCATGTGTCTCAGTGACAGCCTAGCCAATAAACAGGTTGCTTTCATATCATCTATGCTATTGTTAATTCTCTGTGGTAGTAAAACCATACATAAATCCAGTGGCTTTTAGTCTCTAGCTTCAAAAGGATCAGATTTTCAAAATAAGTGTCTCTCAAACATTTCAAATAATTAAGTAGTGACAAAATTCAAAATATTGCCCTAATTGTGGTCATGCCTGTAGCAATACTTTGAATTAATGACTATGCTGAGATGTGAAGGTGTCATAGACCAGTGCTGGAAGGGAGTTCCCTTTTTTTGGACTACAGTTTCAAAAATCCCTTTTGTGAAAGTTGTAGTTCAACAAAGGAACTTTTTCTACGCTCCGACCTAGATCCTTTTTTTGCGTTTGTGGTCACTTCCATGGACAATCTCAATTTTTAATCCTACATTTAACAGCAATTCCACCTCCTACGAATCTGAGGTTTGTTCAGGTTGCTCCAACAAGCCTGACTGTGACGTGGACTGCCCCTCGCGCTCAGCTCACGGGCTATCGTGTCAGAGTGACTCCGAAGGATAAGAATGGGCCAATGAAAGAGATTAATGTCGCCCCAGACAGCACTTCAGCTGTTGTCTCAGGACTGATGGTAATCCTTTCCTTTTTAACTCTGCTAGATGTGATGTTGCTATGTTGAAACCCTGTGAGATCCTGTGGGACAGAAAACCTGTTTTAGCTTATAAGGACCTGTTTTGGGAGAAGGGAAATTCCTTGTTATAGCAGCCACAGTGGCTACCCATCTAATTCTGGATACAAATTGCAGTGATGGCTTTAACTTGTCAAGCACTACATGACTTGGGTCTAGGCTACCCAGATCTTTGGGGGACAAGAGAGGGGCTGCTCTCCAGTGGCTGCTCTTTAGCTATGAAACCCTCTCCCATGGGGGGGGGGCTGGGCTGCTCCTCTCCTTGTCTTTCCACCAGCAGGCAAAGACCTGTCTCTTCAGGCAGGCTTTTAGTAGGCAACTAGCTGCTGAAGAAGGTGTTTTCAATGGAGAATGGTATACTTTTAACCATTTCTAATTTAAAAGTATGTTATTTGAAATTGTTTCTGTCCAACAGTTTTAATATCTAATATGCTCAATTGTTTCTAATATTGCAATTTAATTTCTATTTCATCTGTCTTAACATTTGCTTTTCAATTATTTTGTAACCTGCCTTGGATCCGTTTACTTGGAGAATGATGAAGTATAAATAAAATAAAATAAAATAAATGGATGGATGAATATTTTGACAATAATCCTGTTGAAGTGAGCATGGGTGAAAGAATGAATATTTAGACGGCACGAATTATACAGGAAATTTGTATGCAGTGGCCCGTGTCTCCTCTTGCTTGATTTTAAAGACTACGTACTTAATTTTGTGTCAGCTTACAAAACAGGAGGGGTATTCCAAAGTGGCTTGTATGCCCACTGGTATTAGTCTCCTAAAAGATGCAAATGTCTCTTTTTAACAATGTACAATGTTGTTATTTCTAGGTGGCAACTAAATATGAAGTCAGTGTCTATGCTCTGAAGGATTCTTTGACCAGCAGACCTGCCCAGGATGTAGTCAGTACCTTAGAGAGTAAGTTCCCTTATGTGTTGAATTAACTTCAGATTCATTGATCCAGAAGTGCTGGATAGCTCAGTGGTTAGGCATCTGCTTGCAGAGCGAGAGGTGAGGAGTTTGATTCCTTACTGGGTTTTCTTGACAGGGGCTGGCTGGACTCAGTGATCCATAGGATCCCTTCCAGCTCTGCAGTTCTAAGTGGAAATGTTACAATGCTTGCAGCTTTTTAGTTTTGAAAAGGGGGGACAAAAGAGGGTAAAGCACTGTTGTATAAAAGTGTGTTTGGTGGGGAGAAAGAGGATAGATAATACTAGGATCCAGAGACATCTAAGGCAAGAGGTGCAAGAAAGACCAAAAAGGAAGTGCTGCTTTACGTAGTACAGTGGTGCCTCACTTAACGACATTAATTCGCTCCAGCAAAATTGCTGTAGAGTGACAACGTCATAAAGCGAAATTAAAAAGCTCATTGAAACGCATTGAAAACGGTTCAATGCATTCCAATGGGCTGAAAAACTCACCGTCCAGCCAAGATCCTCCATAGGGGCAGCCATTTTCGGTGCCTGTAGAGCGAGGAATCCATCCAAAAACACAGCGGGGAGCCATTTTGAACACCTGGTGGCCGTCTTGAAAACCCGATGATCAGCTGTTTCCATCGTCGTAATGCGAAGAATCGGTTCCCGCCATCATCGTAATGCGAAGAATCTGTTCCTGAAGCAGGGAACCGATCTTCGCAAAGCGGAAAAAAAAAAAAACATTTAAAGCATTGTTTTGCAATCACAAAAACATTATACGGGATAATCGTTAAGTGGGGCACGACTGTACATAGTTAAGGTATGGAATTTGCTACCACAGAATGTTGTATAAGACTATGAGTGGAATTTCCAACTAAAATTGGACGTTGTCTCATCTTTTGTCAGATGTCAGTCCTCCACGTAGGGCACGTGTCACAGATGTCACAGAGAGAACCATCACAATCACCTGGCGCACCAAAACCGAGATGATCACGGGCTTCCATATTGATGCTGTCCCTGCAAATGGCCAGAATCCCATTCAAAGAACCATTGGCCCTGATGTTAGAACCTACACCATCACTGGTATGTCTGCTCCTTCACATCACCTACTCCTGTGACCTAGGAAGGTGTCTCCCGTTATCCTGATATCTTGCAGCAGGAAGACAAGCCTATCATTTGAGGGTGCCAGAAGTGGAATAATGGTAAATCAGGCAGTGCACATGTCCATCATGTGATGACCCCTGTAGACAGCGCCACCCCAAATTGCATGCTGCAGGACAACAGCTTGCAACAAAATGTTATGGACAATGTCATAGTCCCTGTTATTAGAAAGCATTAGGGCTCAGGCCCTGCAAGCCCCGGCTTGACTACACTTTGGTTACCACACAAACAAGAGCAGAATGGTTAGGACTCAGGTGGTGCCTCTCTCCTCCATTTTTAAAATCACCGTGTTTGGGAAGGATCTGAAGAAAGAGAGGACAATTCAAAAGAAAGCAACAAATATGAATTTAGTAGGAAAGGTGGTGCAAGGAAATAATGGAAGAAACAGGGCTGAGTTCAGCTATCATAGGATCAGTGTAATTCATACCCTCGCTTCGGGGCTAACTGAGAGTTCATTCAGCCTAGACCTTGTGGGGGATTAAAGAGTACCATAGCTTGGGTATTTTTCCTAGTTTGCTCCTATAAAAGGGGGAGACGCCATGGGTGATGGAATTTTCCTTTCTGGGCTGTATGTAAAGGGTTAGGAGCCGCATCAAGGGCAGCTCTTACACTCCTTTGGCTCTCTAGCAGCACACACTGGCTTCCAGAATGGCATCTTTCAAGGCTTCTCTGCTCCCCCCTCACCCGTTCTTTCTGCAACTCATCCACACTTCTTCCCTGAGCTGTTGCGCGTGCCTTCTCTTTAACTGCATTGTCTTCTGTGATCTTCTTTTGTCCCATTCCCTACTTTCCAGAGTTTGGGAAGTTACTGTTTCAGAGGGCAGGCCCTGGAATTCCCCAACCAGGATCCCACTAAGGGGGCCATGTTGGTCGCGAGATTTCTGAGAGTGATAGACCCCCAAAGAGTCCCTTGTCTGAGCTCTGCTGGGGCTGCTCCTTGTTGTTTCCTCCTGGCTTTTCTTTTCTTTTCGACTC